TATTGGAATCCATTCCGTACAGAGAAATATGCCCGGCATGGCCAAGTCGTTAGGGCGCATGACTCGCAATCTGAGGTCCGCAGGTTCAAATCCTCGTCCCACCAAACATGCTTGCCCTTTCAGCAGTGAGGGCGTTATAATGTAATGGTCAATCCCGCTATCTGTTGGTAAAATAGTAGCCCAAGAGTTGGCGGTGGGTGGTGATGACTAGCTGCCTTCCCTCTAGTCTTACACTGCTAAATTAGGGACGGCTAGTGCAGATAGCCCTCGTGTAGCTTTGCGCGAAATTCTAAAAACCCAAACCCTGTGACAAGAATAATGCTTACCTTTACTGTAGCTTTTACCAACTAATACTGTTCTGTGACATTTTTTTTTCTTCCTGGAATAAAGTGTCATGGTATGAGCACCTTATCTAGCAAACTCATCTTTTATTTTGATTTCTTACAAATTTAGTGTTTCTTTTAAATGTGCAGTTTTATCAGAAGTAGTGAAAATAGAACATATTTTAACAGATGAGTACGTTGCCAGTCTTCATCTTCCCAGTTTTGATGCTCATCTTACTGAACTAACAGATGATCAGGCCAAATACATGGGGTTGAACAAAGCAGGGCCTTTCAAGCCTAACTATTACAGGTAGGTTTAGCGTGAATAAATGTTTCCATAACTTCCAGAGAATAGAAAACATGCCATCTGTCCAAACATTATAGAAACATGCATTAGATACAAACATTATGAAAACATGCTTTAGCTATATAAATAATATGCCTATGTTTGTCTGTCCAGAACTTTTCTCCCAAATTTCTTGATGAAATAATATAACTTTCATATCATTAGATAGGCCTTTGTCCAAGATTACATATTGGCTTTTCAATTCAGGATTACCTTACCCATTCTTTGCTTAGTTAAACATTTTCAATGCAGTGAACATGGTACACAATGTCATTGTCATCACATGACAACTGGCTTCAATTTCAACTTTAGTTTTTTTTATTTGCAAAGTATTTAACACAAGAACACTAGACATTCAGATGTTTCTGCATATTCAGCTAAGTTTGCTTTGCTTACAACTTTACTTTAAAACAATTTAGCTTAAACACCTTTCAAGTTACTTTTATCTCTACTACAGGTTTTGTTGTAACTTATAAAACTACATCATACACTAAATGCTCATAACTGTTTCATACTATGTACACTATTATAAATACCATTACTTTATTGTTTACTTTGTGTAGTTTTATGAAATTAAATTATGTACGTACATATGTTAGTTTTATTAAACAAATTTATGTATGTACATGTAGTTTTATTAAATAAAGTTACGTACATACATGTAGTTTTTTTAAATAGTTACATTTATGTGAGTTTGTTTATTTGGATGCTTAAAATTTGGGCAAATAGACCAGGATTTATAAATCTAACCCATAATGCCTGCAAGAAAGTGTAGCTTAAATGGTGTGCATGAAAATAATAGAATAAGGAAAATTCAAATGAAGAGCATGAAAACTACTGCAGATGTTTTACAGGTTAGTATACAAACATTATGAAAACATGCCTTATGTACAAACATTATGAAAACATGCCTTATATACAAATATTATGAAAACATGCCTTATATCCAAACATTATGAAAACATGCCTTATATACAAACATTATGAAAACATGCCTTATATACAAACGTTATGAAAACATGCCTTATATACAAACGTTATGAAAACATGCCTTATATCCAAACATTATGAAAACATGCCTTATATCCAAACATTATGAAAACATGCCTTATATC